CCAAGTACACTGGAGAATATAGCGAGATCGTGGACCGCGAAATAACCTTTAAAGGATGAGGGGACCTTAGAATTTACTTCCAAATATTCGCGTTTAAGTCCTGTGAAAGTGTGTAGAATCAAAAAATACGCCGGACTGTGAAATCGATAATTCGTGCAATATCACGCCGCGCTCCTAGCTCCTGGCTGATAGCAATTTTGGGCTGTGACGTCACTTATGTGTTAAGGCCAACGTGCGCGCGCACCCTTCGCTCGTGTCAACATTTTGTTCTGTTCTGTTTTAATTACGTCGTGTTACCTTTGGCGTTTGCGAGAGCGGTATCTTTGGTTGCACTGAATTAGTCTAAGTTACGAATAATTCTCTTTGATAATAATAGTTAAATGTTACTCAGAAAGGCTTTCTTGTAGTCATTTGTATCACGTTGTGACACCCACGGTCGTTTCACTAGGTGGATACAGGGGGAGCCGCGCACTTCGTGCGCGGCGGGTCATACAACGTATGACAAGTAGTCATGTAGTAGGTATTTCTATTTATAAATAGCTAAGGTAAGTAGCATCCGCTAACTAAACCACAAACTGCTATTTTGTTTTGACTTGTTTGAAACCCGATATGGACACAATTAAAAAGAATGTATGATGTAGTAGAAGACATTATACTAGCTGGCCCTTGGCGCCTCTAGTCCTATCTGAGTACGCACGTGCGGTTTGACACTGCGCGTGTACCGGCCTTTAGTTGTACACTCATTTATAATTTACCGTTTTAGTTTGCTGTGACTTGAGTGTAAAGCGTAACAAATGTGGATGTGTTCGTCTGCTATGCTTGGTATAATATTGCTTGGTGTAAGTTGCAAATCTTGCTTACGTTATGAGTAGTGTCACACAGTGAGTTAGAACTTAAAAGCTTGGTGCTTGGTGCTTGTCCAACTGGAATGAAGACATGCATTTCATACCTACCCGATCCATTTTTATTAGGACCGTGTTGTGTTGATATGACATGTTGATATATCAACTGTGGTACGAAACAGGGAGTTGCTTAGGTGTTACGTTGGGAGATATAAATATGCATAATTTACATGCCTTTCTGTGTGACTTCAATCTTATTCCAGGCGGTGTATCTCGGCTCATGGTTATCGTAGAGTGATAATTCTTTTTTCAACCGGTCATAAAAAGTCTCCTCTCCTCTGGTTATAGGCTCGTTAGTATCGTAAATTGTTAATGTAGTCTTAATTAGTAATTTAGTCGGCCCGCACGCTCATTTTACCTGTATTTCTATATGCGCGGATCAGAGCAACTCACATAATTGACGTCACAGGTTCAAATTGTTTTGGCTGGATATATCGGCGCGCGAATGAAATACAACTTTGCGGATTTCACTAAAGTGGTTTATACGATTAATGTAATAAAAGGATTTGCACGAGAAAAAACTTTTTCTAAGGTCCCCTCATCCTTTAAAATAGCGCACGTGTGTCGTGTACATCGGCTGATGTACACGATACACGTGCGCTATTTTTACTTCATAGCATGTTCTGATACTAACGAGATCGTTCAATCATGTCCCACTAATTCGTGAAAAAGATTCTCACCAATAATATCTAAATGTGAAATCCCAACGCCTTTATCAACGAGTACAAGCCTAATCCATAACCCGAACCTTTAACCAACCCTATAAACTCTATCATTTCACAACATTTCGGGTAAGGCATCACGAGGTAGGACTGAGATAAGAAGGAAGAAAGCAACACGTTAATAACCGGGTCGTGGTCTTGTCCGCCAACCTGTGACGTCACGGATTCATTAATTACCTGATTACGCTCATTAGGTGAAAATTTAGACCCCAGTTCGTCGATGATCGGCATCTTGTTGATCCAAATTGATTTAATGAAGGAGAAAGCATAATCCCCACTTTGTCTATCGTGATAAACTTTGTGAGGCGACAGAAAAACAAATGCACAAGCAGTTGATGAGTCAATTGAAGTGAAAATCGTTTCATCGCAAAAATGACGAGCTAATGATGCTTAATTCAAATTTCAAAGTTCAAACACTACTTGATAGATTAGGGAGATTAGCACGTCTGAATGAACATTGAACAACTGTCTATAATGATTGCTATACATCTGGCTATATTATCAACGATTTTATTTGGCAAAGCCACGAGAAAGAACATGTTTTGATAACAATCCAATAAAATGGAGGGCTGAGTGCTGACGACATAAGGCTGTGGAGAGTTCAACAAGAGGCCCACATTCCACAAGGGGTGCAAAATCCATGAAAAATTCACTCGTCATTAATTATGTATAGTTTATTAATTAATTATATACAGTTTACTAGTTAATTATGTACAGTTTACTAATTAATCCTGAACAGTTTATTAATTAATTAACACATGTTCTTAAAGCTTATCTTAAGAGTCAATTCAATTTATCTGGTATAGTGGGAAACGTTACTTTCTCAACCGTATTGTATTGGCAGCAATATGTAAATAATGCTGTGTCGGCTACGGACTAACTCTTCGGTAGATACGAACTAACAATGTGTACATTAATTTATTTATCCTCGGTAAAGTTGCGATCTCGACGGTTCAATTTAAGCGAAATATCATTAAACAAAATGTTTCCGATGCACAACATCTTCATCAGTCTCAAATTATTTGTTACATACACATAGTAATGTGGATAATGTATTTTATAAATTTCAACAGTCGAGATCGCAACTACAGCTCTACAGAGGAGAAATAAAAAGTACACTTTGTTAGTTATACGCTATGTGACTCCTAAACTGAGCTCCACTCAACCAGTTAATTATTTAAACGAAGGACCTAAAAAATATGATCTGTCCTACATGAAGACATTCTTCTTGAAGAGAAAACTATCAGCCTTTCAGCCGGATATAATAAAATAAATAACCCTAATCTAAATAATAAGCCTTACCTTACATGAATAAACCTAATAAGCTTTATACCATATCATGCAGACCTGAAATTAAACATCCCACGTGTCCACCTGATCTATATAATATAATAATAAGCTATATATCAGCATTCCTAATGAAATGGTTTTTAGAACATTAGTTGATGAACTAGTGAAGGTAAGCTGATACGATAGTGGTATAATAGTGATAAACCTCAGGTAATAGTGGTATAGTTGGACAAGAAGCTCATGATATTATGATATGCTCATGATAAGAAGCGAGTATGTCCTCATGAAATATAATCAATAACAGGGGCGTTCCCAATTTCCATCTTATCACCGTTCCACCATGTTTATATGTGAAGACTAACGAGCCAAGTGGGAGGAGTTCCAGGAGGTCAGATTAGGTGGTGAAGTGGTTTTTAGAACATAAGCCAATTATTTCGAAGAACATAAGCCAATAATTTTATTAATCACCAACTTATCGATTGTAAATGTATGTTCTAAAAACTATGATGAATATTTTCAGGCTATAAGCTTATAACAGGAATCTAACGTTTGATTCATTTTTGCTAGCTATTTTTTTAACATGACGTGTTCGTGGAATCCAGATCAAGTCAACTCTGGAATGTAAAAAATTCATTACCAAGAAACTTTTAGACGATTGAAATTATATGGCAGAATTATTCTTTGGGAAGTAAACACTAAACAATCCCCAATAAAGTAACGTGAAACGCGCAGATAAACTATATTAAAGTTATATTATATACTAGAAACCCGCTAGTCGAAAGCTTTGTTCGAGGAAATTTTAAAAATCAGTTATGTTTTAATTTCTCTTCATCATACAGTCTGTTATACAGTAGACATAATGGAATTTATTTAACAATGGCGACAGCGTTGTTAGTATTCGGATTCCCAAAACGATACTTTTTACCGCATCAAAAAATACCAATCACAACCAAAGTTATGAATATAAGTCATAGCGTGAGCGTAAATGTGAGCTAGTTTTGAAGTTATGACGTAGCATACAGCATAACAACGCGCGTAGTTAAGATGTTCTTGCTCGCGCACGTGCATTTTTATCGTTGCTACGCAACAGCGCAGTAAACCTTTGCTAAAATAACGCCATTATTCTAACGATTATTTAACCTCACTTCCGACGTTAATTATACAAAATCTAAAGCCTAAATCAAAATTCTAAGAATGCTATAGCCTATTCCTATCCTTTTTCTACAACCCTGCTAAAAATGGCGAGGTTTCAACTCCATTTGCGAGCTGGGTTTGGCTTCACCAGAGGGTCATTTTGAGGTCGATTTTCGGTGTTTTTTCTTCTATGTCCCCGTTGCCGGGGAAATTTCGTCAAGTTTAAAATATAATATAGATATTATAAAGTTTCATTATATAGATTTCATCCCGGATTTGACAGGTGCCCGCGTAATACTTGTTGAGTAATGAGTATCAACACAGAAAAATAGTACGTTATATAACGTATTTTAACACCTGTCAGGGAGGCAAGCCAAGAAGGGCAATTGAAGATGAAAACATTAATTATACCGCTATCCGTGTAATTTACATTAGCTCGCATGATATAATAATATAATTTACATTAGCTTTTTTACATAATATTAATAATAATAATAATTTGCATTAGCGTCCCAGATAATGCAGTAATACCAACTAACACAGGGATGGAGTAATAGAGTAATAGCTCGATAGTGTGCATTCTATCTAGGCTGAGAATAGATATTCATGGATTCTGATGTTTGATCTAGCATTGGTACATACATTTGGTATTGGTGCAGACAAATTATTTTCAGAAATAGGCATAATCTCTTGTGATTATGAATTATGATGAAGATTTAGGCAATGAAGTATGATTATGATTATAATTATAAAAAATAATCATGTTATAATTGCGGTAGAATTAACTGTAGATGTTACTTAAAGTGGTACTGACTTTGATGATTCAAAACGTTACTTAAGTAACTAAACTAACGTATAATCAAGTTTACCAATGACTACTAATTTATATTTGAATTAATATATTTGACATATAATTTAAATTAATATAAGAGTAGAGCCAAATGTTACTTACTTGGTTACAGTGGTTCGTAGTCCAGGTTCCAGTCATCCCTTGTTTCGCCGCAATCTCATTTTGTTGAGCTGCTGCAGAGGTTAATAATTAAATAATAAGGCAATCATTTAATTAATCAAGGTAAATATTTAATTTAAATGTAATTTAAGAGAAATATGTAATTTAAATGCAATCTAGTAATTTGTAATTCAGAGATGATTATGTTGTGGAAGATTCTACAAATATGTTGAAGCAATCATAGAGTTCAGTTGCCAAAAATGCAAGCAATTGTGAATCTATTTTGGATTCACAGTTTCAACCCCAAAAGCTCTAAAGTACAAAAATTAAAAGAAGCCTTTATACAGAAATTATTGTAATGATTAAACTATTAAAGTTTTAAGTTAGCCAATAAAAGTAAAGGAAATGGTTGGTCGTCCGCAAATTCAACAGGGCGAGCATCTAAATATCTACTCGAAATAGCTGACGTGGGAAGGAAGAGACTTATCTTTAGGATAACGAGACAACTCAGACAGTGCTGAGACAAACAAGGATGAAATTCAAGTGATCAATTCTTCCTAAAATTGCCAAATCCTTAAAGTCCAGACCATCTGGCATTTCCTTCTCAACCTCAACAGAAGACTAAATTTTTATTGACATTGTACTGTAATTTTCACTTTCCCACCCACACCTCCCCCACCCTCCATCCCTGACACCACTCAATCACATATAAGCATTGTCCACCACATCACATTCAGCTGACGACGATTAACACATGTTTATTGAAAGCTTCTACAAGTTAAATCATCGTATCTCTTATATGTTTTTAACCCAACTCCACTCAGTAAGTGATCAAGGTTTACTTTTCACTGGAAACTATTGCTGGACGACATTGTCTACGACGAAATTCAAGTGATCAAGGTTTACTTTTCACTGGAAACTATTGCTGGACGACATTGTCTACGACGAAATTCAACTGATCTAGGTTTACTTGTCAAAAGAAAATACTGCTGAACAGCATTTTAAAGGTTGCAGCGAGAAATTGTAAATGCTCGTACAAAATATAATGTGGAAATGGCGTAATTTACTCCAACCGATCAGCTTACAATTGCAACAGCGACCAGTAAAATTCGTGGATCACGATGACTGTCATTTGCAGAATCCTATTTGTGTATACAACCTACAAGCTTTTAAGTTCATTTAATTATTTAACCAAAAATTCAGTGCAGGGTTCTGCAGAAATACAGTGTAGTTATGTTGACCCGCTCCTAGTCCTACTAAAAGGAGCTAAATAATAGGAGCTAGTGTCAAGCAGAAATACTGCAAAATATGAATAAGGTAACTTGAGGCTTCGTTTAGCACTAAACATATGTAAATCAAAATAAATATCGTGTGATAACAAAAGAATATAAAATAATACTGGACCCCTTGATAGGATTATATTATTAGTTGTAATAATCAGGAGGAAACCGACACAAGCGAATAAATAAGAGTGGAGTAGTACCAAGTGTTGTAATTATGGGTACAAGAGATTTAGGCGACCTGTTATTGGTCACTAAAATAGGTTTAGGCACGCTCTTATTGTTCACTAGCCCCAAAACAGCAACATCTAGACAGCTCTACGAGCGAAGAGCCTGTACGTCTGTATGTCTGTACGTGTTACAGTTAACTGCAGAGTAACATGACGTGTAGCCTGTAGGTATAGAGAGTGTGGCCAGGTAGTACTCGTTGTAAAATACGAGTGAGGGCTGGTGTTTAACCTTCAATCTGAACCATCACGTTTCTTCTTGGATGCAAATTTACATTTTGTCATGATGATGAATGTTAACGTGCAGTGTTGAATATTTAAATTATCATTAAAAAGGACAAAAGAAAGTGAAAATCATAGAAACATCAGAATACTAATTATATGTAACAAACAATACCCAGAGAGAGAAAGAAAGAGAGAGAGAGAGAGAGAGAGAGAGAGAGAGAGAGAGAGAGAGAGACTGAACACACAAAGATGTACAAATGTCAACTTTACCTACACCTTATACTAACACAATATCCTGCCACAGAACACGACATAATAAACATTGTGCACAGTAACACAAGTTGTTGGGGGTGTCAGGGAGGGGGTTCCACAATTTTCACTATGTTGGTGAGAGTAGCAGCGGTGCAACAATATACATTATAAATAATATAAACTAACTGACCCAAATAATAAAACACTATAATAATACACTATTTTGGAGAGTAACAGTGTCCCTCTTCCCATTCCGAAACCAAAACTAGAGTTACACAGAGCTAACACATCTGCAATGAAGAGAGAGCACAATGCTGCTAGCGCTAATATATATAATGGGAGGCAAGCTTTACAAGTATAGTTTCAGCTTAACTTTCAGTAGTCAGGGTAAGGGTTTGTGATTAGATAAACACATCTCACCACTTCGACACACTGTCATTTGTTATTGTACGTTGGTGAGGCTGAAGGTGAGATCAATGTAGGTCTAAACGGTGCAACAGACCGATTAGAAATTAAATGCTCTCAGCGGGGAATTGTCCAAGATTTGTCGACCGACTGATAAAAAATAGGACAAAATGTTCAGTATTTAAAGTACGATTTATATGATTAAGCGCACTAAAAGTTTAATAAAACGCAGGAGAAAAGCACTTTCGCAATTCACAGTGCACACAGTTAGAAAAGCAATCCACAATCTCACAGTTATGACTAATCCTGGAGTTGCAGGGAAGTTAGAGGGTGCGGTGTAGGTGATATATACTTGCTGAACTAATATGCTGATTGAACCGGCCCTGAACCTAGTGTTGCCCACTGTAAAGTGTTAAGCACCTTTGAGGAGACTACTTCATCTCATAAGTGCACCATAATATCTCGATATATTTTCTAAATACACGATATATGAACTGCACGATATATCGTGTAGTTCATATATCGTGTATATATATGTTAACTTTCATAGTACACTATATATAAAAACTACCATAGTCAATTACTATAAACTTTACTAAACTCCACACTGCATCACTGCGTTAACAACATCAGGGGTACACGTAACAATTAGTTTTAGTTTTGGCGACCCCTACAGTTACAAGTTTGTGTACGTCAACAAAAGAAACAAAACACTGGAAAGTGCGAGAAATCCTAATTATGATAAATATTTGTAATTATTTTAGGCGTCAAACCGGTCCCCTTTATTCAGCACCAGCGGAATTTCGGCAAAATGACACACACTGTTTGGGAGGTGTCATCTTGCTGCAATTCCGTGAGACAATCTGATTCGCCAGGGATGGAATCAGGAAAGTGATGCTAAATGGGCTGCTAATAGGAGCGACTAAAATATCAGGCAATTGAGGACATGATAAAGAAGGAACAAATATACCCAAATTACCCATTACTGGTCAATTACTGGTCAATTACTCAATTAATTTGGACACTCCTCTGACAAGTCATGCAATAAAGCATCATTAGTGATAAGTGATGACACAGCTGTACGGGTCACTACGGGCAATACCACCAGATTGTCACAGTGTGCCTGGAGTCTCTATTCTATTGCGTCTTTTAACCAATCAGAGTGGATGGTAGGAGTCACATGATTGTTGCTGTTGAGGATTAGGTTCTAGTCAGTTATTGTCGCAGTGAAGAATGCCAAGCATTTAAGTTTTAAACTGCTAACTTAAGGTCATCCGGGTTGAAGAAAACATCCTAATTCCTAGTTAGTCGTGCTTTGTACACAAAGATAGGAAATGAGGAGAAGAGGGAAGAAATAGAAATTAGGCGAACACGACCACGAAGTTAAAGTTCTGTACCGAAATTTGAAGGCCGAAGAGGAGATCTGTCTACCAAGAAACTGCAGTAAATTGACAACTATAGTAAAACATGAGTCCTAATTACCATCTTCATCGGCAATAAAATTTGAAAACTGTATAATAATAAAGAACAATTATAATAGCTGAGCATCATTCTAACCACATTGGAGTCAGACAATCAATATTACACCTGTTCTAAAATTTGCAATGAGGAAACATTTGGAATGTAAGAAGTCGTTCGTCGAAGAAGGTTATCATAATAATATGATAATAACAAATGTTTCGAATGTATCAAATTGTTTTTTTCGATAAAATAATGTTTATGCCATGACTGCTTTATCATTTGCAATTAACACGTTTCAAACTGAGCATGGTTATAATGCTATTAATCGTGGACCTTTTTCGTTGACAAGGAATGCAATTTTGACAACAGGTCCCCAGTCTGATCATCATTTTTCCTGTTCTGCACGGTTAGAATTATGCACGTCTCGGTAGATAATTTCGTGCACATCAAAACCGTGTGAACAGTAAGATGGATGTGATGTAAAACTGGATGGAAATAATATGATGTATATTGTATACCATTACTCAAATAAACGGAGCTAGGAATGCCGTAAAGAATACAACAGGACGTGTGGAAATAATCGCAATGGCAACGGAGTAATTTTAAGGGTTTTGTATTTAAATTAGTTGGGGTATTTGTGTCACCTCCCCATCAGTGAAGTAAAGGCTTAACAAAGGGCACATTCAGAGGGGGTGAGGTGCGCTTTCTCCAGAATTTTAGGCCTTTTTTAAACGAAAAATCGTTCGATTTAGCAAACCAAATGTATCATTTCCTGACTAACTCAACATTCAATTTAACTTGGTCAAGTCTATGAAAAATAAAAATCGATTGTTTATCGAAATTTTCACTAGGAATATTTTACATGCCGTAAAGAGCTCAACAAGTCTGGAAGATTTTCGCAATGGCAACATTTTTGCACTACTAACGAAGCAATATCTATTTTATAGGACTCTTTTTATGGGTTTCTAAAGTTTATTTAGGTGAAAAAACTTTTAGTTCTTGAGGTGCTAACCTGAGAAACCTTGACAATGAGAATATTTACAAATCGGACAATTGAGGGAGTGACAGTGAACTTTGTTACCAGTCATTATCTACCCGGATTTTTTGAGAACTAGCTCCTCGAATTTAAAGAAAGTCTGTATCGCGACCGGTAGCAGACAAAAAGTGAATTGTTTAAATACCTCACGTTATCGCAAGCGTGGGGCGATGACAGTCAACGAACCT